TCCTCCTCCTCCCCCTCTCCTCCATCTCTTCTTGGGTCATGAAACAACTGCAAGAAAACAGCCAACTTCAAAGAGCACCAAAGACCCTACAGTCCTTTCCCCTCCTCCTCCTCTCCACAAACCCATCCCTTCTAGTAATACTGACGATGTTACCTAGTTTGGCAAGGAGACTGTCTGCAAGAAAATTTCTAAGCTGAGAGAGTATCAAGGATGCCACCGTTGCCTTATCCCTTCGTGCAGTATTTGAAAACTGTTGTCTACTGAACAAGCCTTCTCCAAACCCCCAAGAGAGCCCCTCTTTCCAGAGGCAGGCAAAGAGCATATTGTACACAACTTTTTTTTGTGCACAGTATTGTTGATCCAGCAGGTAATTGGATCAACTTTTTATTTTGCAGGGACCGAATTACCCACAATGATATCATTGGCACCAGCTACCTCTGCATGTCCAAAATCTCCGCTCCGGGAGGAGAACTGGAAGGTGAGCGGGTTCAGAGGGCCCTGATCCCCAGGCTGACTTAGTGTTGTGGCCCACCAGCTGACAGCAGAGCTGGCGGCAGACTTGGACAATGAGGAGGTTAGGGAGGAACATGGGCCAGTCCTGGAGTCTGGGGAAGGCTCTGATAGATGCTCTGTGTCAGAAGCAGAGATAGGGCCAGCGCCGTCCGACATTTATCAGATGCCTTCGGAGTCAGAGATAAGTGGGGAAGAAGAACAGCTGGAGCCTGTTCCCAGTGTGCGCATGCACAGAGCTGTCAGGAGAGGAAAACAACTGAGGAACAGGGGCCGACTTGGGAAGAGGGGCACATGTGGACGCTGAATGGCTCCTCCCTGGGGAATAAATAGAAGCAAAAGGGGAGTGGTGGTTGCAGGAGACAATAGTTCATTTTTCTTTAGGGAGATTTGATTATTGTGGTGGTTCGTGCCTCACAGAGACTCCTTGCCAAGTATTTAATTTACAGCTTTGCAACTGGAAGCTGGCAATTATCCAAGGACTGATAAGGTCTGTTCTTGCAATTATTGCCCAGATTATGAATTCACAGTAACTAAATAAAGAGAGTGTCCTTGTTAGAGTCAGACTCACAGCAAATGGAGGCTCTAGAGGTTATGGAGAAGGCTGGAGAAGGGCAGAGGCTGGCTGGGCAGTCAGAACAAGAACCAGGCCCATCCCCTCTCCATCCTAGGACATTCTAGGGAGGAGGAATGGAGAAGGGAGCAACTTGGCTTACAACAGAGGAAGCGGCCATGATCCCCTTCATTGGTTGCAGCTGGGGAGAATAGTATATAAGAGGGATGGTTAAAACACAGCATTAAAGAAGCAAAGCGTGTTTAGTTGGCCAAGTGTGATTGGACACCCAAGGAATTTGTCTTGGTGCAAATGCTCTCAGTGGACATAAAAGAAAAGATACATTTGTCAAGAATTATACAGTGCAAAACTTAATAATAGTTATAGGATACAAATAAGCAATCACATACTAGGAAAGAGTCAATAAAAATCATTAGGATACAAGCAACAAGGTTACAGTCATACAGTCACAAGTGGGAGGGGATGGGTGATAAGGAGTTATGAGAAGATTAATAGCAATAGTAGTGCAGACTTTGTAAATAGTTGGACAGTGTTGAGGGAATTATTTGTTATTAGCAGAGTGATGGCATTTGGGGGAAAAACCGTCCTTGTGTCTAGTTGTTCTGGTGTGCAGTGCTCTATATAGTGTCATTTTGAGGGTAGGAGTTGAAACAGTTTATGTCCAGGATGTGAGGGGTCTGTAAATATTTTCACAGCCCTCTTTTTGACTCATGCAGTATACAGGTCCTCAATTGAAGGCAGGTTTGTAGCAATTGTTTTTTCCGCAATCCTAATTACCCTCTGAAGTCTGTTTCTGTCCTGTTGGGTTGCAGAACCAAACCAGACAGTGCGGATAACAACTGTTGGTCCAGAATGGTATAGGGTTTCTTGCTTGAGCAGGGGGGTGGACTAGAAGACCTCCAAGGTCCCTTCTAACTCTTTTGTTCTATTAAAAAGCCACCTCTTCATTTTTACCCCTTATCTCTCAGACGGTCTCGGCTGCCCTCTTCTTTAGCAGAAGCCGTGATGATACACGACCCAAAAGGACTTCACTTTTTCACTTTTCCCACTCTTTCTTTCTGCTTCAGATGATTTTCCCGTCACCACAAAACTCTTCAAAGCAACAGAGAGTATGTCCTTAGCACGACTCTTCCCCTCCTCCTCTCCCCCTCCTGAGTGTGTTTCTGAAATGAATTTAAAATCATTTTGTAATCCAAATTCCAATGCACGATGCACGTGACATCAGTTGGGGAAGGCATGTGATTCCCTTGGGATGATGATCATCAACCTTGCTTTGGTCTCTAATCCCAGTTTAAATCCTCACTGGATGTGATTGCGCATGTCTGTGAAAGAGGGGAGATTTAGGGGTTAATCTTTCTGGAGGGGGCTGGGTGTCCTTTTCCTCTGCCATCTCTCCTGCACAAAGTGTCTCAGCTTTGATGATTTGAAGATGGGTGGACTTCAACTCCCAGAATTCCCCAGCCAGCCTTGAAGTTCTCTCAGTCTCAGCAGGTGGACTTCAACTCCCAGAATTCCCCAGCCAGCTTTGCTGGGAGTTGAAGTCCACCCATCTTCCACATGCCAAGGTTGAGAAAGGACCTTTGTAAACCAGGAGGGACCTTTGTGCAAATACAGCATGCCAAAAATGCTAAATCTGTGCAGTTGACCGCAAATTCATCTGGTTTTGGTGAATGTATCTCCAAACCATGAATATAGTCATTGAGTTTCCCCTACTTGAGTGGCCTTCTGATGGTGGACACCTAGCTTGGATTGCTAGGAACCTAGAAGGCAGGGATCATTGTATGGACGGGACCTCATAACCGAGTAAAGATGGCGAGCTTGTCCATTCTCACCCTTGTTTAATATCATGAATTGAAAAAAAAATATATGCAAGGATTTCTTCTCACTTCTACTGTTTTCAAAGGACTCAGAAACCTCCTGTTTCTGATTGGGCCACCGGTAGAAGAATATTTGGGTGGACCAGTGGTGGGATTCAACATTTTTTGCTACCAGTTCTGTGGCGTGGCTTGGTGGGCGTGGCATGGCATGGCGTGGCAGGGAAAGGATACTGCAAAATCGCCCACCTCTGACCTGCTTCCCAGCTCTGTTCTCCTGTGCAGGTCAACCAAAGGAGACCCAGCCGATCAGCTGAGACTCAATGGGAGGCAGGGAAGAGACGGGGGTTGGCGGGGCCAGTCAGAGGTGGGATTGGACGGTTCTCCGAACTACTCCAAATTTCCGCTGCCGGTTCTCCAGAACTGGTCAGAACCTGCTGAATACCCACCTCTGGACTCTAAAATTGGTTATTTCAGGTAGAGGATTATCTCCGTAGTTCTACTTTCGTGGGTTTCTTTCCACAGTTGACGATGGACTTGGCTTCCTGCCCACTTTTGGGCCATGCTACATCAACCTCTACGGGAGTCCGAGGGAGTTCACCGGATTTCCTGACCCTTATGAAGAGCTCAACAGTGGCAAGGTGAGACAGCTCTTCTGAATTCGCCGGCGTGCCACCCCAGAGAAGCCGTTGGGTTCATCCAGGTGGCCAAGTTGGGAGCAAGAGCTGGCTTGTGAAGGGGAGGGGGCAACCTTCTCATGGGCTCATTCTTATATATCCCAAGGGAGAAGGAGTGGCGTATCGTGGCAGAGTGCTGGTGGAACTGGAGACCAAGCTGGTAGACCACGTTGAACAGAAGTTGGGGGACATCCCTGCGGATGACATCCTGAGAGTGGAGGTAAAGTTTTCGTGGTCCACATAAGGCCACGGCCATGAATGTCTTCGTCTTTTCAGTGAAGTGGGGGGGTATAACCTCAAGTGATCATCCAGGGCTGGGGTCTCCAAATTTGACCACTTTAAGACTGGTGGACTTCAACTCCCAGAATTCCCCAGCCAGCTATGCTCTTGGTGACTTTAAGACTGGTGGACCTCAACTCCCAGAATTCCCCAGCCAGCTATGCCCTTGTTGACTTTGAGCTCGATGGACTTCAACTCCCAAAATTCCCCAGCCAGCTATGCCCTTGGTGATTTTAAGGTTGGGGAACTTCAATTCCCAGAATTCCCCAGCCAGCTATACCCTTGTTGACTTTGAGATTGATGGACTTCAACTCCTAGAATTCCCCAGCCAACTATGCCCTTGGTGACTTTAAGACTGGTGGACCTCAACTCCCAGAATTCCCCAGCCAGCTATGCCCTTGTTGACTTTGAGATTGATGGACTTCAACTCCCAGAATTCCCCAGCCAGCTATGCTCTTAGCAAAACTGGCTGAGGAATTCTGGGAATTGAAGTCTTAAAGTGGACAAGGTTGGAGAGCCCTTCTGATAGGAGATGATGAGGCTGAGACTGGTGGAGTCAAATGCATCATCAGTTTGGAGTCTCTACCAATTGATTCTACTCTGGTGCCAATTAGTAGATCAGATTTTGTGTTTGGCAAGCGTGAAATAAACTCTAGTGCTTTTAAAGCCTATCCTAATTCCTGACTTCTTGCATCTGTCATTACTCCACCACCACCCGGACTTCTGGAAAAGGCCTGATGGGGACCTGCTACATTGGGGGTGGTTGATGTGTTGGTCAAAGAGAAGATCCCACCCTCCCAAGCTGCCTATCATTTTTCGTTTTTAAATTTTAACATTTTAAGCGTTCCTTAAACAAACTGCTGCAAGTTGAGGATGACCTGCACAAATCCCACCAGTGGCTCTTAGTCCAGTTGAGAGTATCCAGAGTGGGCTTCTTCACGAATGACATCCCCCTCCTATTGTCTGGTCTTCTTCAGAAATACCTGCGTCGGCGGAAGTACAACCTTTTCGCCGCCTTCTACTCGGCCACCATGCTGCAGGGCGTGGGTGACGCCATCCAGTTTGAGGTCAGCATTGGCAACTATGGAAACAAATTTGACAACACCTGCCAGCCGCTGGCATCCACCACGCAGTTCAGCCGGGCGGTCTTTGACGGTAAGGGAAGAGTTGGGAGCAAGGATGGGCTGTTGGGGGTTCACAGGGGTCCGGGAGAGCCCCTAGCTAAGATTCTGCACAGTTCGGAGGAAACCCCCACCCCCAAAATCCCACTCCTGGCTGGCTCCGCTCACCCCACCACGCTCCTCCCAGGAGTCCCCACACAGCCCGTTTTGGATACAGGTAAGGGTAGGGTGCGCGCCGAGGCTCAGGGAAGGCGAATAACGGGCCTCCCGGAAGTTCGGGAAGGCCGGAAATGGGCCTGTTTCTGGCTTCCAGAGAGCCTCCGGAGCTGGGGGGGGGCAAGAACGCCTCCCCTCCAGGCTGCAGGAGGTTGACTAGGCTACATCCATCATGGCCGCGCCCGCCCAGCAAGCAGGCAGAGAACCCTTTGCTAAAATTTTTGAAGCCCACCCCTGGGTGGGAGGCATAGTCAGGCGAACCGGGGTGAGCAGAACCAGAAATCGAATCGGAGGTGGGTTACTCTGGAACGGGAGATCTTCTATCTTGCTACTCCTGGATGGGATGGCATGCTTCTCGTGACCTTTCCTTCTCAGCTAGGCCTTCTTCAAGGAAGGGAAGACTCTGAAAATCATCAAAGTCTTGATCTATTCCTGGCGGCATTCCTAGATTGATAGGATGGGGGGAGGGGCTTGGAAGGCGACTTGAAGATGGGCGGACTTCAGGGGTGGGATTCTACCGGTTCTCACCTATTCGCTAGAACTGGTTGTTAACATTCTAAGCAGTTCGGAGAACCGGTTGTTAGAAGAAATGACTGGCCTAATCCTGTAAGGAAGGCAGGAAGGAAACATTCTGGTGTTGCTTACAGAAACTGCCTCTCCGTTAACCCTGATTACATTCTTGGCAGGACTAGACTTCCTGTCTCTGGAACTTCTCTGGATATTTTTTCCCCCTCCTTTGCTGGTACTTTGCTTGTGTGGAGTGACCATTCAAAGTTACAATGGCACTGAAAAAAGTGACTTATGACCATTTTTCACACTTACGACTGTTGCAGCATCCCCACAGTCATGAGAGGCCAGGCAAGGAGATCTGTGCCTCGATGTGAGTGATATTGAGTTGGCTACACCCAGCCAATGACATGACCACCAAGCCATGTCCACCCAGTCACATGACCACCAAGCCACACCCACTACCTAAGCCACACCCACAGAACTGGTTGGTAAAAAATTTTAATTCCACCCCTGGCGGACTTCAACTCCCAGAGTTGCCTGGGCAGCTTTGAAGTCCATTCATCTTCAAGCTGCCAAGGTGGAGAAACATTGTCAGTGAAAGTGGCCATAATCACATGGTGACATGCTTAACTGACTCAATTCTATATATATAAAAGTGAAATACTCCTCACGCATCATCACAAAATCTCCCGAACCATAAAGCCTATAAACTTGAAATTTGGCACGTATCTTCCTCTTGGCTTCTAGGTGCTCACTCAGAAAGGATTTTTCGAAATGACTACCAGAGCATTAGGATTTGATATATTATTATTATTAACGTGCTCTGATTCTAAGGAGTTCTACTCCCCCTCCTCACCTGAAAAGAAATCTGCTCCAAATGCAAAACACAAGCAGAGGAGAGGAGTTTCCGTTTTAGTTTCACAGCAGCAACCAGCTTTAGTGCAGAAAAGTTGAGCTAAGCCACGCCCAGGCTCCTTGCTGTCTCCTTCTTGCTTACACAGCAAATACTGCTTCAGTTTCCAAACAGTCCTCAATTCTTTCACACAGACAGGATGCTAGCCAGATGAATGCTGATGGATGCTGGTAGGCAGAGGCACAATTTTGTCCCCTTGTTTTCCTCCCGCAAAGCTAAGCCTGATCACATAGTTTTGTAGCAGAGCACGGGTATAGAGCTAGTTGTATATATATTTGCATTTTTATATATTTTATTATATCTATATCTCTGTCTCTACATCCATCTGTCCGTCTATCCACCCATCCACCCACCCATCCATCCATCTAGCTATCTAGTTGTCTGTCTGTCTGTCTATCTATCTATCTATCTATCTATCTATCTATCTATCTATCTATCTATCTATCTATCTATCTATCTATCTATCTATCTACCTACCTACCCACCTACCTACCTACCTACCTACCTACCTACCTACCTACCTACTTATACCTATCCATCCATCCATCTATCCATCTAGCTATCTATCCATCTAGCTATCTATCCACCTAGCTATCTAGCTATCTATTTACCTATCTATCTAGCCATCCATCCATCCATCCATCCATCCATCCATCCATCCATCCATCTATCCATCTAGCTATCTAGCTATCTATTTACCTATCCATCCATCCATCCACCCATCCATCCATCCATCCATCCATCCATCCATCCATCCA